TTAAAAAAAAAAAAAGAAATAAAACGGGGTCACCTGGGTGGCTCAGTCGTTTGAGTGTCCGGCTTCAGCTCAGGTCATGATCTCACAGTTCATGAGTTCCAGCCCCACATCAGGCTCTGTGCTGACAGCTCAGAGCCTGGAGCCTGCTTCAGATTCTGTGTCTCCCTCTCTCTGCCCTTCCCTCACTTGCACTCTGTCTCTCAAAAAAGAATAAATGTAAATAAATAAATAAATAAAACAAAGGTGGGTAAAGGTTGGCTTTAAGGCAAATAAAAACTGTTTCTTGACCAGTTGCCTACAGCTGATGAGCTCCAGTAAGAGCGAAACCAGTTCTCACTCCTGAAACAATATGGAAGTGTGGATTGGTCCTGTAGTACTGTGTCAGAAACAGAACTGACTCTGGAAAAAAAAAAAGGCTTCAGTTGAGGAATTTTGTGACTGCTAAGGTTTAAATACAGGATTTAACTCTATTGAATGAGAGTTGCTAAAAAGTCAGATAATCTGTTATATCTTTATATAAAGTCAGATAATCACTATATCTTTATATGGGACTGTAGATTTGTACGAGCACTTCTTAATTAAAACAATTTTGTAAACCTATGTCTAACTACTCTTAGGCTATGGATCCTCAGTTAATTTCAGTGATAGTTCCCCTGTCCCCAAAGAAGAAACTTGGACGGCAACCAAACTAGCCTACATCTGTGTTGCCAGCTGGAGGCCCGCAAGGGAACTCAGTTGACTGGTTCTTCCCCTGACCTCCCACCCCCCACTTACCTGGTTATTTGTGGACATAATCAAACTTATTGTACAAGCTCAGTTACTTAATCTTTGGTAATGGCTTTGCTGCATATATACACACAAATTTTCCTCAACCCCTCTCCTTTTGCTGCCAAAGTAGTATTCATTTGAGCATCAGAAAACTAAGTTTGCAAACTAAGTGACTACCGGATGTCAATTTATGTAAAAGGCCAAGGGCATATACTGAGCCACAATATAGAAAGTGCTTGTCTTTTGCGGTTAAAGTAAGCTTCCTTTAATGTAAATATATAAAACAGTCTAAGCTGAGGTAGTCATAAAAGCTGACTTATTTTTTTTTTCACTTAGATGAACATTCAGAATGAGACAAACTTTTGTTTTGCACTGCTTGTATATTACAAGTCTCAGATCATATATAAACTCAGTGGGTCCCACCCTCATTGAAAACTACTGGACAACATTTAACATTTGCAAGAATAATGGAAATGTAGTAAGGAATATATGTTAGATTTATTCATTATTACCATTATTATACTGCTTGAGATTTAAGAAGTTTGATTCACTTCAGAGTGAGGTTCCTCCTTGAAAGTACAGAGCTCATTTAAAAAGCTGAAGACTGTCCAGAAATGTCATAAGGAAGGCAGGGACTGTGTACTTGATGAGTGTATATACATGCAGTATGTTTTCATTTACATGAGAGATTATTTTTGTACTTACAATGAGAAAATTTGGAGGAAGGTGTGGATTTAGAATTGGTCCTTTAGGGGCACCTGGGTGGCTCAGTCAGTTAAGCGTCTGACTTCACCTCAGGTCATGATCATGCAGAGTCCAGCCCTGCATCGGGCTGACAGCTCAGAGCCTGGAGCCTGCTTCAGATTCTATGTCTCCCTCTCTCTCTGCCCCTCCTCTGTTCACACTGTCTTTCTCACTCAAAATTAAATAAACATTAAAAAAGTAAAGAATTGGTCCTTTAAATGTAATTAGGCTCTGAATAGACTGAAAGGAAGGTTATTCTCCATGGCAGGAAAGCCATGGAAATGTTAATGTGCAGATTGGAGGAATCTTGAGTAGACTGGTTGATTATAGTGAAGACCTAGGATTTTAGGAATGTGTTGGGAGATAAGATTGGGCAAGCAGTATGACTGGTTTACTCATGAGGAATCACAACTCTGAGGTATAAATATAAAATGGTTTCAGTTCTTAGGTCTGTTATACTGAGTAAAATGACCCCATCCTTTCTACTTCCCTCTGAAGTACAGTCCCTTAAAAATGTATGGGTTTGATATATTCTTTCTGCCACTTTTCATTACCAGAGAAAATTTATTCCAGAGATTAAGATAGGTTTCATTTAAAAAACAAAACAAGCAACAAAAAACATTACAAACCCCTTTGTCTACCTGAAGAAAGGATGAAGCTGTTAAGTTTCCAGCTGCTTAAAGAAGAGGCGATTTGGGTCTAAAATGTGTTCCTTCTTTTTTTCACCTCCCTCTAACTAGCTCTTTTGTAGTTAGCGGAAGACCAGCCTGTGGAGGCAGAATTCTTGTTATAGGAACCTCCAAAGAGGAAAGAGATATTCCTGACCTTAGTCTGCTTCATCTGGTTGCATTTGGTGGTGGTCTCTGTGGAGGTGGTATGTGTGCCCTTCTGGGGCAGTGTTGTAGCTCCCTGGTGCCTTCTGCCATCGAGGGCCAGCTCACTTCCTAGGGCAGCTCCTGTTCCCCTTGGGCAGAGCTATTGTAGTACGGGCTTCAGCCCCTTTTCTGGATTGGGTGACACTTGACCTAGCGCTCTCTCAAGTCACTTGCACTTTTCATTAAGCTCCCTATTTGTTTACTTGGAGTTGCAGGGAGGAGACTAGGAATGCAATAAGACTGAGAAATCAACATTTCAAGTGTTAAAGGTATGAAGTGATTACACCTGGACCGGGTTGCAGGGCGGGGACAGTAGAAAGGAGGGTATAATTGGAGGAGAAGTGAAATTGGTAAGAGAGGGCAAAGAAAAGGAAGGAGTCATGACTAAGAAAAATGATACCATTGACAGAAAGCGACAGGATTAGCTCAGAGTGCTCAATTATAGGAGCTACAATTTTAATTGGAGATTTTTAAGCTGTTTTTAGTTTGTGGCTGTGGTGGAATATCCATTTGAAATGCCTGAATTCAGATGGAGATTTTAATACAGGCACAGAGACCTAGTGAAGGCAAATAGATAATTCTTTATCTGTAAGTCAAGAACACAGGACTGAAAGTAACTAATGTGGATATCAGCTAGGGGGTGTTGGTTCAAATTATCAAAGTGGATGAATTATAGGAGGGGGAAAAAGGGTAAAGACTGAACCAAGGAGAATATGAAAGCTGGATAAAAGGGTAATAACCAGTATTTGGTTAGTGCTTCTCTCTTGACAAAGCATGGCACACATTCTCTAATGATAGAGCTGCTTCTTACTTGCTCTGTGCTGGAGACTCAGAATGCCTTGTCTTGCTTAACTCATTTAAATAGATCTCTTTATCTGTTATCTATTATTTTGGTCAGCTCTGAGTTCACCTTCAGTTGCTATACCATTGGTTATGATTGGTTTTTAGATTGGTTTCTAAATTAATACTTCAAATTCAACAGCAACACATTCACAAGTTATATATCACAGTGATTTACTTTAGGGAGAACTATACTGGTGGGTAATGCCCCTGTGTGAGAGTTCTTTTGTCCTGGATTTTGGAATACAGCATGCTTATGAGGCCTTTATAACTTACTACATTAATTCGTACTGTCTAGACCAAGCTTTTAATACTAGTGTGGGCTTTGTCTTAGTTATAACATATGTACAGCAAGATAATGATAATTTCTATTTGGTGGTTTGGGAATATGTTATACAGATAGGTAATTTGTAGAATTAAGGCCAATGTCCATGCTAGTTGATGCTCCATTTAAAGGGCAGTCTAAACTAAAAAACAGGATATTTAAAAAACTGGTCTTCTTTTCTTCGAATTATTCTTCCCCATTTACTACATTCCTAGAAGAATATTCCTCAAATGCAGTACTAGTTTTATTAGATCACTTCTGTACTTTAATTCAATACTTGAGAATTTACTGTGTGCTAGAAGCTATAGTATAAACAAGTATACAGGTCCATCGTGATTTATGGTCTGTCATAAAATTCATTCCTGCATATCATTCTGAGGTCATATTAACCTGACAGTCTCTCATCATTTTTCACAGTCCCTGACCAACACTTCCATCGTAGACGACATGAACATGTATCTTTCTGTTGCTCAAAAATTTTAATTTTTGTTTTGTTTTCCATAAATACATCTTCCATATTGAATTATTTCTTTCTAGTTTCTGTCAAAACTATGATCTCCCTTTTTTATCCAACCCTAGATGACAGTGTTAGCTCATCTACCCTATACATGCTTTGTTGATGTGTGATGAAAGAAGTTGACGTTTCTTTTTCATCAAGATTGCTGAAATATTTTGTATTTGTCTTAGGATAATTTTTGAAGTTGACTAATTTTCAGAAAATAGCTAAAACAGTAACCCTCATAAACAGCATGACAATTTATTCTAGTTGTTGAATCCGTTTTGTCAGTGTTCCTTTTATGACCTGGGCAGTGCGTATGAGCTCCATTTGAGTTGCCCTGAACGTTGTTTGTTCCTGATGAGAATGTTTGGAAATCACCATGGTACTTCCTGGATTCTTGCCTGGTTGAAAAACAAATTCCTGTAAGGGATCTTTAACACCCAGCTTTAGGAGCCTGGGCTATAGATAGAGTTTTCCTTCTCAGTAAATTGTTATCATCGTTAATGTGCATTGTTGCATAATCTTTTTCTTCTATTGTTTCCACTTCTGTCCTATTCAGTATTTTCTTATAGATTCTTGAGAGTGTCTTTGTCCTCTCAGGAAACAATTCAGTTGAATTCTAACAATTTAAACTTGTATATTTCATACCCAATAACTTATAGGGGTGATTAAGGAATGCCAGATTGCAACTGAAGTGAAGTCATGTGACTGAATTAGAGGAAAGAGAGTAAGATTGGTAGCACCCTGCTGGCTGCAGCACACTTGGATAGCCTGTCTTAGTTTGTTGTGGGTTTTCCCCCCTCTCAAAGAAAGGCTTTTAAAACAGTTATTAGTGGTAAATTTGTAGCCTTAATTATTTCACATCATGGAGTATATGCAAATACATATGAGGTCATGGTTTACAAAACTTTAAAAATTCTTAAAAATTTTGCTGTTTTGACTTTTTTAGACATAAAACGAAGATCGGGAACAGATTTGAAGCGGTGCAGAGTGAAGTGGTGGCGGTCAGCATGTCAGAGGCAGAGCACGTAGCCTCCATTTCCTCTGATAAAAATATCGAGAAAACATTTGAATTAAAGGAAGACTCCTGCAACTTGTTGTCTGGTGATGACAGCAGCTTAGAAAATGAGTCTACGCCACCATCATTAAATTTGGATAAAACTTTATGTCAGCCTAACGAACACACTCAAATTGAAGCACAGGAAAACTATATTCAGGATCATGGTGGAGGTGAGGATTCTTGTGCTAAAACAGACACATGCTCAGAAAATTCTGAACAGCTAGCTTATTTTCCTGGTGGAGACTTTACAGAGCAAGCTCCGAAAACAAATGAAACTGAGCAGACAGTGACACAGATATTGGCGGAATTGAGGTCATCTACATTTACAGAAGCAGCAAATCAAAAGACTTATTCAGAAAGTCCTTATGATACAGACTGCACCAAGAAACTTATTTCAAAAATAAAGAATGTTTCAGCATCAGAGGATTTGTTGGAAGAAATAGAATCTGAGCTTTTATCTACAGAGTTTGCAGAAGAACACCGAGTGCCAAATGGAATGAATAAGGGAGAACGTGCATTAGTTATGTTTGAAAAGTGTGTGCAGGAGAAGTATTTACAGCAGGAGCACACCATAAAGAAGTAAGGTTTTAATTTTTTTGCCTCCCTCTCCCCACCCCCCAGTATTAAAGATTGAATTCTTTAAAGGAAAGTATCATCTTGTCCGTTATTAGTATCACAAGTCATGCATGTTATAAATCATCAACAACATGTACTGAATAGTTGAGGAAATGTCAAGTTTGTCTGGTTACTTAATATATACCTATAGGAATAAATATTAATGTCAGTTCATTAAAGATCTAGAAATATTTATAAAGACAAATCAAGTTTTTTAGTTTTGAAAGAATGTAGAGCATAGTTTTGTTAAAACTGAGAAATTCAAAAGGAAACAAGAATTTATATAATTCAAAATCTTTTCTAAAATTCCCATTGTAAATTCATTGGTTTTCAAAATTAAAATTTAGAGAACAAAATTGGTTAGTCCACAGTAATTAAGAACAGTTATTTTTAGACTTTTGTTGGATTGATAGTTAATTTTTATTTTAATGATAGTTTAATTTTATTTTGTCTTTTCTTAATAGTATCATAGTCCTGTATTTTCTAGATTTTTTTTACTTAAGTGATACAAATGTTTAGGCAGTGTTTTATAACCTTTAAGAAAAGAAAATAAAACATACTAACCTTCACTGAAGCACAGACTGATTTCTCTTTTTTATTAAATGATACTTAAAAAAATTGGAATGGGAGATACATGTGTAGAGAAAGAAGTGGAGGCAATCTATATACTAGAGAAGAGTGACAGAAAAAATTATAATCCAAATATTGCTAGATAGGTAACTGACTTTTAATGATCTCCTTGCTTCCAGGGTTTACTCTTCTAAATTTTTTTTTTAAGTTTGTTTATTTTGAGGGAGAAAGGGGGAGGAGAAGCAGAGAGAAAGGAAGAGTGAGAATTCCAAGCAGGCTCTGCCCTGGGGCTTGATCCAGCCATGAGATTGTGACCTGAGCCTTAACCAACTGAGCCACTCAGGTGCCCTTCTTCTAGATTTTCTTCCTCAGTGGATCAATCTTCTCCAAACCAGCTTATCCTTCATTGGTTTATCCAGTGAACTTGAATCTCTCTCTTAAGCACCCAGAGCCCTTCTTTTTTTCTGTTTTCAATTTTTTAGATTGTGACAAAATATACATAAGATTTACTATCTTAAGTATTTGTTTTAAATGTTTATTTATTTTGAGAGAGAGAGATGGAGTGTGCACAAGTGGAGGAGGGGCGGAGAAAAAGAGGGAGAGAAAGAATCTCAAGCAGACTGCACTGTCAATGCATAACCCAATGGGGAGCTCAGTCTCCTGAACCATGAGATCATGACCTGAGCCGAAATCAAGAGTCAGACACTCAAACGACTGAGCCACCCAGATGCCTCCATCTTAACTATTTTTAAGCATACAGTTCAGTAGTGTTAGGTTTATTGTTGTACAACCAGTCTCCAATAGCTTTTTCAGCTTTCAAATGTGAAACTCTAGACCCATTAAACAACTCCCTATTCCCCTGCCCTCAGCCCCTGACAGCCACTATTCTACTTTCTGTTTCTAAAAGTTATTCTTGATACTTTATATAAAGTGAGATCATATAGTATTTGTCTTTTTGCAGTTAGCTTATTTCACTTAATGAGTGTCTTCAAGGATCATCCATATTGTAGTATCTGTCAGAAATGCCTTCCTTTTTACGGGTGAATAATTTATGTATATACTGCATTTTGTTCATTCATCTGTCAGTGGACGTTTAGGTTGCTTCCACATTTTGCCTGTTGTGAATAATAGTACTGTGAACATGAGTGTACAAATACTTCTTGAGACCCAAGTCTCTTCTTCCTACTGTCCTAAAACTGAGGTGCCTGGGTGCCTCAGTCAGTTAAGCGTTTAACTCTTGATTTCGGCTCAGGTCATGATGTCATAGTTCATGAGATCAAGTCCTGTGTCAGGCTCTGCACTGACAGCATGGAGCCTGCTTGGGACTCTCTCTCTCTCTCTCTCTCTCTCTGGCCCTTTCCTACTATCTCTCAAAATAAATAAACGTTCAAAAAAAGATACCTCAGGGGTCCCCCGGGTGGCTCAGTCAGTTAAGCAACTGACTTGGCTCAGGTCATGATTTTGCAGTCTGTGAATTCAAGCCCTACATTGGGCTCTGTGCTGATAGCTTAGAGCCTGGAGCCTGATTCAGATTCTGTGTCTCCCTCACTCTCTCTCTGCCCTTCCCCCACTCACACACACTTTGTCTCTCTCTCTCAAAAATGAATAAACATTAAAAAATTTAAAAAAATACTACCCCCAAATTAATGGCTACTTCTGCTCATATGCTTATTGGAATGCTGCTTTTATGAATAAACTATATGCTTCTGTACTTAGACCTTCAGTGCTTTTATTGTTGATTTTTTTAGGGCAAATTCCCCATTTTCCTTCTGTACCTGTTCTTTCAGATCCTGTTTTTGAGATTGTCCCTGATGCCCTCTTCCCACTTTGCTCAGATCTGGACTCCTCACTTTAATGCTCTTCTTGTAAATTATAAGATGTTGTACATTAAATAATAACAAATAATTATATGTTGTTGATTATATTCCTGGCACTTTCATATATTAACTCATGGATTCACAATAATTCTCTGTGGTATGAACTATTATTATTCCCATTTTACAGATGAGGTATCTGAAGCACAGAGAAATTAACTCAAGGTCACTTGCTAGTAGATGCCAGAGTTAAAATCTGAGCCTCGTTACTTTGGCTTCAGAAGATTTTTTAATGTGGTTATCTGAAATGAGCTAGTTAAGTTCTTAAGTTTATCTAAAAATATTAGGAATACAATAGAAAATTCTTTTTGCCGCATCCTGTCTAAACAGCGGCTGCGTGGTAGACTGAGGTAAGCATAGTTGTGGTCAGATGCCTGCTGTTGGGAGATTTCCCTCTTCTGCTTGCAAACTCTGTTTTGTGGTTCATCTCAACCTTCCTGAGTCAAAATTTGTCATGTCTGTGAGGGGAACGATAGATGGAATTGTTTGTACACATTAAAGACATTTAAAAATACTAGATATTATTTTAACTAAGTTAATCATTTGTTATACACATGGTATTTTGAATTCCAAAGAAAATGCTGTGTGACTCAGGTTAGCTCTAGAACAACTGATAATTTTCTTTTGCCTTCATTTAATATTCTATAAAGAAAATTACCTTTCAGTTCCTTTGGCTTAAATTTTCATGATCAACCTATTTCCAGATGTCTGTTTACACATCCATTTGTCTGTTTTCTAACATGGGTATATTGTCCAAGGTCCCAACCAGAACTGTTACAAACAGTTAATTGTGTATCGGATGTGACAGTTTGAGGGTTTGCTGCTCTTCTGCCTCTGTGAATTGTTTACTTGTGAGCTATCGCCAGGATTCTTGTGTTGCAGGTCGTTTTCTGAGACAACTTGAGTGTATACCTAAACAAACAAATAATCTAAGTTAAACCACTGTGCCAAAAAGTCTTGCATAAAGTTGCATGCTGCATGTTTTTTCCTTCCCAAACCTTTGTGTGGCTGGCTTCATCGCTGTATACCTGCTCATGAGAGAGGCCTACTCTGACTGCCTTACCGAAATCACTGCTCCAGTCACTCTCCGCCCTAGTGCCCTCCCTTAGTTTTCTTAATAGGTTGGGATCACTACCTGACATTTTATTATATGTTGTTTATTTTCATTTTCTCCCTTTGAATGTAAGCGCCATGAGGGTGGGGATAGTTTGCTGACATACTTCTAGCACGTAGAACGGTATAGGGGGCACCTAGGTGGCTCAGTTGGTTAAGCGTCTGACTCTTGGTTTCAGCTCAGGTCACCATCTTACGGTTTGTGGGTGACTCTTGGTTTCAGCTCAGGTCACCATCTTATGGTTTGTGGGTTCCAGCCCCATGTAGGGCTCTGTGCTGACAATGTGGAGCCTGCTTGGGATTCTCTCTGTCTTTCTCTCTGTCTCTCTCTCTCTCTCTGTCTCTCTCTCGGTCCCTCCCTTGCTCGCTTACTCGCTCTCAATCATAATAAATAACTTAAAAAAAAAAAAAAGAATAGTATAGGTACACAGTAGGTAAGCGTTGGTTGAGCAGTCTTCAAAGCAGGAGAAAGGCTTGGGCTGTGGAATCAGACCTGGGTTCAAATCTCAGCTCAACTACATTCTAGTTACATGACCTAGAACAAGTGCCAGGCTTCAGGTTTGTTTGTTTGTTTGTTTGTTTCCCGTTAAGACATAATAATTTCACAGACTTACTAATTTCATAAACCTGAATACTAAATGAAATAATGCACTTAAAAATTAAGTTAGTAATTGAGCAATCAATGTTAAGTAGTAGCTGTTGCTATGCTAGGGCCGCCTCGGTGCCTCAGTCAGTTAAACATATGACTCCTGATTTCCGTTCTGGACTCATGATTTGTGAGTCCAAGCCTCTCAGTGGGGCTTGGGATTCTCGCTCTCCTCTCTGCCCCTCCCCCACTCATGGTCTCTCTTAAAATAAATAAAACTCAAAAAAAACTTTAAAAAATTCTAAAGTATTCTTAACTTCCTTAGATGTTTTATTTTACGGTTCTGACTTTTTAAGGTTTTATTTATATTTTTCTAGGAGACTCAAAATTTCTGCTTCAACTTTTATATTTTATGTATTTTTTGTTTTATTTCATCTTCTTCTGTAACTATTATTAGAGTACCATTGAAATTTCTTAAAATAAAAAGCAAGATTTTTCACCCTCAGTATTGTGGACATTTGGGGACAGATCATTCTTTGTTGGTGGTGGGGCCGTGCTGCATTATAAAATGTTCAGCAACATCCCTGACCTCTACCCAAAAGAATCCAGTGGCCACCCCCACCCCTGTTGTGACCAAAAATGACTCCAGGCAAATACCTGGAAGGGCTTTGCCCTAGGTTAGGAACCACTGATCTGGAGGACTGCAAGTACTGAGGGGGTGAAATGCATCGTTGAGATAACTCAAAGCAGTAAGCTTAAAAAGAATATGGTTTTCTTTATCTGATTATATTTCACTTGATTTGAAACCTACGAATTTCTAGCAAGAAGGTAATAGCCTGGCCTCTAGAGAATGTTTTTTAAAGTATAATAGATCATTACAGAAGGATTACTTAGGAATGTTGATGTATTTATCATAAGTATAGTCTGCAGACAGATTGGGTTTTACACCTCCAGTTTTAATTATGTTTCATTTATACCACCCTTTTTATATTTAGGTTAATTAAAGAAAATAAGAAGCATCAGGAGCTCATCTTAGACATTTGTTCAGAAAAAGACAATTTAAGAGAAGAACTAAAAAAAAGAACAGAAACAGAGAAGCAGCATATGAACACAATTAAACAGGTAAAGAGATAAAAATCTTTAAAGACTATACTTCAATTTATAAAAATAAATACATTCCTGAAAATTTGTGTATAAATTGAAGTTCTTTAAGCTAAATTGTATTTTAAATGTAGTTGGTATGTAAAGCATTCTTTTTTATGGAATGGGAATAATAGTCTGATTTTTTTTCTCTTATGTAAATTTATATTCTTACAAGACATATGAGTGTATTCTATATATAATAGAAATCAGAGGAAAAAAGGATTTAATTTGGAAGTAAGAAAGACTATTACCAATTAAGGGTAAAAGTAATATATATCTATAATTAGTATCTGGCATCAGAATATTTTTAAGCTTTTAGTTTAAGATGATTCCATTCTCAGTATTGTTGTGAACTATGCTGTGAAGACTGGCTCTCCTGCTTCAGATTTTATCTGGCTAGCTGACTTCACTGGTTTGTCCTTTCCTCTTTTTCTTTCCTTCAGAAATGTTTTTTTAATGAACTGTGATGCATGCATGGGTCAACAAATTGAATATTCAGATCAGGAGCAAAGCTGAGCTGCTCGATATCTTTCTCAGCTTTTTTTTCCCCCTGTAGACAGGATTAGAAGCATTTTAACTTTAAAAGTCTTCCCTTTTCTTTCATCCTTCACCAAAAACTGTATAATGAAAATAATAGTAAACAATTCATAATAATAAACATTCATAATAATAAAGAATTAAACCAAGTTTCACTTGCTTATGTTTTGGTATACTTAATGCATTACTACATAGTTGGAAAATGATTGTATTTGTACATTTCACTTATTTAACCATGATTTTTATATGCTTTAGAGCTACACCACATGTAACCCAAACTTAGAATTTTAAAGTATGAGGGAATCTTAATAATGGGCCGAAGCTACATTTTGGTAGGCAGGTCACTGCCGATGACCAGAAACTTCAGACTGAATATATGGGCAAGAACCAGAGTTGTTCTTTCCATGGGCTTGTTAGTGGTTGTGCTTTTTTTTTTTTTTTTTTTTAAGGAGAAAATTGGATTCTACTTGGTTTTGCTAGCCAGTATAGCAGAGTTTTTTTTCTTTTCTTTTTTTAATTTTTAAAAATGTTTTATTTATTTCTGAGAGAGAGAGAGAGAGAGAGAGAGACAGTGTGAGCAGGGGAGGATCAAAGAGAGAGGGAGACAAAGAATCTGAAGCAGTCTCCAGGCTCTGAGCTAGCTGTCAGCACAGACCCCGACGCGGGGCTCGAACCCACGAACCGTGAGATCGTGGCCTGAGCCGAAGTCGGATGCTTAACCGATTGAGCCACCCAGGCGCCCCTAGAGTTTGTTTTTTTGTTTTTGTTTTTTTGTTTTTTTTTTACTTTCATCTCTAGTTCTCCACCTTTCACTATGGCAGCCATTAGCCACATATAGCCATTGAGCACTTGAAAGATGGCTAGTCCAAATTGAGAAATGCTGTGAAGTGAAATAGACACTTAATTTTAGAGACTTAGTATAAAAAAAAGTAAAATCTCACAATTTTCCATGTTGATTATGTGTCAAAATGATAATACTTTGGATATATTAAGTTTAATATTTCACTTTTTGCTTTTTAAAATGTGTCTACTAGAAAATATAAATTATACATATGGCTGTATTCTATTGGACTGGGTCACTCTAGGTAATTTTGTCATGAGGAAAGTTAGCACACATGTTCTATAAGCTAACATTTAGGGATTTTTTTTCAACAGCTTTATTGAGATATAATTTACATACCCTACATTTCATCCATTTCAAGTGTACAGTTTAATGGTTTTTAGTTGTACAACGTTTACCATAACAGTAAGGTTTTTTATCACCTCCCAAAGAAACCCCATATCCATTAGTCACTCCTTGTTTCCCTCTGAACCCTTTCCTCCCCCCAGCCCTAGGGAACAACTGATCCACTTTCTGTCTCTATGTGTTTATCTTTTCCGAGAGTTTCATATACATGGAAGGATATAACATGCAGCCTTTTGTGTCTGACTTCTTGCAACATGTTTTCAAGGTTTCATCCAAGTTGTGGCATGTACGTTTCTTTTAATGGCTGAATAATATTCCATTGCATAGATTATATAGCATTTTGTCCTTTCATCAGTTGATAGATATTTGAGTTGTTTCTACGATTTGGATGTTGAGAACGATGCTGCTATGAGCATTCGTGTACAAGTATTTATGTGATCAGCTGTGTGCTTTCATTTCTCTTGGGTGTCTACTTAGGAGTGAGATTGTTGGGTCAAACGATTATATTTAAAGTTTTGAGGAGCTGCCAGACTGTTACCCAAAGTGGCTGCCCTATTTTACATTTCTACCAGCAGGGTATGAGCGTTCACTTTCTCCACATTCTTACCAATGTTTGTTGTTATGGACTTTTTGTTTTGTTTTTGTTTATTTAATGTTTGTTTTGAGAGAGAGAAAAAGCATGAGTGGAGGAGGGACAGAGAGAGACTCCCAAGCAGGCTGGTGCTGTCAGTGCAGAACCCAACCCGGGGCTGGATCTCATGACCATAAGATCATGGCCTGAGCCAGAATCAAGAGTCTGATGCTTAAATGATTGAGTCACCCAGGTGCCCCTGGACTTCTTAATTATAGTCATCCTATAATTAGGTTATAGGATGTGAAGCATCCTATAGTAGGTTTGAAGTAGTATGTCATTGTGGTTTTGATTTGCATTTCCTTAATGACCAATGAAGTTGAACATCTTGTATTTCTGGAGAAATACCTATTTAAATTCTCTGCCCATTAAAATTTTTTTAAAATTGACGAGTTGTAATAGTTCCTTTTATATTCTGGATAATAAGCCTCTATCAGATATATGGTTTATAAATATTTTCTCCCATTCTTTGGATTGTGTTTTCACTTTTGTTTTTTTTAGATCGTGAATTTTTTAAAGTAATGTCTACACTCAGTGTGGGGCTTGAACTCACCATCCCGAGATCAAGAGTCATATGCTCCTCTGACTGAGCCAATGAGGTGCCCCTTTTTTTCCCTCACATTCTTGATAGTATACTTGAAACACAAAAGTTTTAAAAGTTGCTGATGTCCAAGTTATCTGTTTTTTGTCTTTTGTGCATTTAGTGTCATATGCAACATTCCATTGCTAAATCCAAGATCATGAAGATTTGGCTTTTATATTTAGTTTTTAATTAATTTTGAGTTAATTTTTGTGCATGGTATCATGTAAGGGCTCAACCTCATTCTTTGTGGCTATTCTGTTGTCTCAGAATCATTTGTTGAAAAGACCGTTCTTTGTTCTTCCTCTATTGAGTAGTCTTCGCATCTTTGTTGTAGATCATTTGATATATGGCTTTATCTCTGGGCTCTAAATTCTGTTTCATGGATCTCTGTGTCTTTTGTTACAGTAGTACCAACACTACTTTGGTTGCTGTGTTTTGTAGTAAATTTTAAAATTGAAAAATGTGAGTTCTTAAACTTTGTTCTTTTCTTTCTTTTTTTAAAGTTTATTTATTTATTTTGAGAGAGTGCCAGCAGGGGAGAGGCAGAGAGGGAGAGAGAGAATCCCAAGCAGGCTCCACACTATCAGCACACAGCTAAACATGGGGCTCAGTCCCACGACTGTGAGTTCAAAATCTGAACAGAGATCAAGAGTTGGACACTTAACCGACTGAGCCACCCAGAAACCCCTCTTCTTTTTCCAAATTGTTTGGCTATTCTTAATTCCTTGCATTTCCATCTGAGTTTTACTCTCATGTTGTCAATTTCTACAGTGAAGCTAACTGCGTTTCTGATAGGCCTTGAATCTGTAGACTCATCTGGGGAGTTTTGCCATCTTAACAATCGTAGGTCTTCTACTTATATGGATGACTTTCCATTTATTTAGATCTTTAATTTCTTCAACAGTGTTTTGTAGTTTTCATAGCGTAAGTTTGTACTTTCATTAAATTTATTCCTACATGATTTATTTTTTCATGCTACTGTAGATGAAATAGTTTCATTAATTTCATTTTCAGATTGTTAATTACAAGTGTATAGAAATACAAGATCATGTCATCTGCAAATAGAGAATTTTACTTAATCCTTAAGTAATCTCTACCCAGCATGGTGCTCAGACATACAATCCCTTGATCAAGCCAGCCAGGCTCTACTGACAGTCAGCCAGGCTCCCTGAGATCTTTCTTCTTTATTAACATGGGTGTCCATAGCTATAATCTTCCCTCTAAACACTGCTTTAGATACAACCCTTAAGTTTTGGTATGTTGTGTCTTTATTTTCATTCACCACCGTGTATTTTCTAATTTTCCTTATGATCTGTTCTATTGGTTATTGAGGTGTTAATTTTACATATTTGTGGATTTCTGAGATTTCTTGCTATTATTGACTCAAGTTTCATTCCATTATGGTTGAAGATCGTGCTTTATATGATTTCAGTTTTTTAACCTGTATTGAGGTTTGTTTCAGGACCTAGCATATGTTCAGTCCTGGAGAATATTCCATGTGCACTTGATGAGCATGTGTATTCTCCTCTTGTTGGGTGGAATGTTGTATAGGTGTGTTAGATCCAGTTCTATAATTTTGCTCAAGTTTCCTATTTCCTTGTGAATCTTCTACTTCTGTCCATTATTGAAAGTGAAGTATTGAAGTTTCCAACTATTAATTGCCTTCTTCATTTCTGTCAGTTTTTAGTTCATGTATTTTGGTGCTATATTATTAGGTACATATATACTTAGAATTATTATTATAGAATGACCATTTAACCATCATGAAATATTCCTCTTTGTCTCTGGTAACATTTTTTTTATTTTTTAGTTTATTTTGTATATTAGTATAGCACTCCTCCTTTCTTATGGCTGTTTGCAAGCTGTATCTTTTTCTATCCTTTTAGTCTGAATCTTTGAATTTAAAGCACCTCTTATAGAAAGCATATTGTTGGATCTTGTTTTTTACTCCAGTCTGATAATCTCTGCCTTTTGATGTGATTATTTAACACAATCTTGTTTAATGTTGTTATTGACAGTGGATTTATATCTGCCATATTTTTTATATGTCTCATGTCTATTTTGTTCCCCTGTTCCTCCCTTACTGCTTTCTTTTGCATTAAGTAAATATAACATTTAAATTTCTTTCGTATTTTCACTATATTTTTTTATTTCCATAGTGATTGTTCTTGAGCTTACTATATACATCTTACCAGAATCTGTCAGCTTTATACTAACTTACTTCTAATGAGATTTAGAAACAGGGCTAACTTTTACTTTTGATTTTGTGTTTTAAAGTGTATTCATTACTTCCTTTATGTTCCTTTTCATTGTTTATATTTATTTAAAGTGTTGGTGGTCTATTTGGTATAGTTATGAAAATAATCTGGAAATAATTTTCTTTACAGTTAGAATCAAGAATAGAGGAACTTAGTAAAGAAGTTAAAGCTTCTAAAGATAAACTTCTAGCTCAAGACATTGCAGCTAAAAATGCAGTTCAGCAGTTACATAAAGAAATGGCTCATCGGATGGAGCAGGTATTTTTCAAATCAGTGTCATTATTAACTTTATATTCTGGTGACTCTTATTATTATAAACTAACTTGTTAGACTGCTTTGAGTATGAGTGGTATCTTAAGAATAGGTAAATTTTATAAAAGATGCTAAAGCAACTCATAAATACATGCTAACTACAAAAATATTTTTAAAATTAGAGAAAAAAGTGAAAGTCCTCCTTCATTTGTACTTCTCTCTTCCTGCCCCCAATCCCTTTGTATCCCATTCCTTGTTCTGTAGCTAATTTATATTTTGGTTATGTATCTTACCACATATACAGGTATAAGTCACACAAGCATATGTGTATGTATTCATATACTTATTCCTCCTTTTTAAAAAAATTTTGTTTTATGTTTTGTTTATTTTTGAGGGCAGAGAGAGAGGGAGACACAGAGTCCAAAGCAGACTTCATACTCTGAGCTAGTTGTTAGCACAGAGTCTGACACGGGGCTCAAACTCATGAACTCTGAGAGCATGACCTGAGCCGAAGTCAGACACTTAACCTATGGAGCCACCCAGGCGCCCCCTTATTCCTTCTACTTGATTGGAATCTTACTGTACAATTTTTTGGGGGTTTTCCAACTTAATACATTTTGGTAATGTTTTTGAGTTGCTATTTATGGATTTCAGAAGAGATCATTTTAAGCATTGTTTTTTGTATTATTATTGCCTGCACTGTTAATTATAGGATCTTAGTCATCTTCATTTCTCTATCCACAAAACCTAGCATAATGCCTAATAATTGGTCCTTAAGGTGAATTGAATCAGAAGGTGATATCTGACTGCTAACACTGCCTGGGAGATGGATCCGGTTCTTTCTACCCTAAAGCTAAACTTTAACAAACAGTTGATCCTCAACCTTTATTTCTGTGATTTTTTTACAGTATGATGATTTAAAACCTATGCTATGCTCTCAGCTCTCAAACTTTTTGTACTAATTGAAGAGAAGTATAGAGGATGAGACCTTAAGAATTTGTTGGTTTTAATAGACTCAAACATAACTGATAATTAGAGTCACCAAGCTGGTAATTAGAACCACAAAGCTTTTTAAAAAACAATGTATTCTTTGGAGTTTATTATATTTTAAAAAAAAAATAGTAGTTGGATATACACAGTAACAATTTGAACAGTAAAAAATGAGTCTTCTTTCAAACATTTTCTCCCATTTTACCCCTTCCCAGAGGTAACCATTGATGATGCCCAGTTTCCTGTGTATTTGTCCCAAATGTTTGTTGCCTAGACATGCATGTATGTATTCTCCTTCTTCCTTCCATTCCCCCCCTCCTTTTTTTTTAAATAATTGGCAACATGCTACATTCACTACTATGTAACTGTTCTCTCTATAATCATGAAAAATATAGATGAAGTTATTAACACTAGCTAATGTATTGCGATTTAGCTATGGGCCAGGCCATGTTCAAAGCACTTTACAACTTATTTAATCTTCACAACAACCCTAAGAGGTGGGTATTATTGTGTAGATTTTGGAGGTAATTTCATTTAAATATTTATAGTTCTGCTTCATTCCTTTTTTACTCCTACCTTTTCCTCTCAACTTTTTGAAAAATTTTAAGCCTGTAGAAAAGACAGAAGAATAGTAAAATGAATACTATTTTTCCTCTACGTACAGTCACCAAGCCTGGTAAATTTTGTTTAGAAATAGATTCCCCACATGAGTGTGTACCTGTTTACGCTCACATATACAGTACATTCCCCAGTTTAATTTTCCAGCCTGAGGTTTCTCCATTTCTCACGCTATAGGTAGAATGAATTTGAACTTCAAACTTTCAAGAGGGTAGACTTACAATATAAATTTCTCAGGGACTTACAGCATGTTCCCTTTATACCTTCATTCCTGGATTGGGAAATATCAACAGGGCAATAAAGAGTTCAGGCCTCGCATACCATTCTGGATTCCTGTTTCCTCTTAGTGTCTTGGGCCCTGAGGGTTTCTCATACTTTCTTGTGAGCTCAACTGTTTATTAAAAGGATATTTGTTGTATTTCATTTAAATTTTTGGTGTTTTAGATGGGGATGATTTATCTACCATATTTTGAGACGCAGAACGTCTTACATTTTATCTTAATTTTAACTGGCTACTGAATCCCATTGATTATCTTATTCATGCTTTCTATATGTTCATCCAGGTCAGTGATAAATATCTTAAACTGGTCAAGTCCAAAGACTCCTTGGCTCCTCTTCCTTTATGTGTACCATAAATGGACTGACTTTCTACAGAAGCTTAAACAGCAGTTACTGTGTGATCTAGTTTAATAATCCCAACAGTTCTGGGAAGTAGGTGCTGCCATCATCTGGGTTGAGACCTAGAAATGTGTACACTTAGTTCCCCACGTTATTCCTTTGTAGCTGATCCATGGATGACTGACAGGACATCCCTCCTGTAATCAAGAACCTCAGAATATTTTACTTTATCTATGTTAATTGTCTTTTTTCTAGTTTTTATGCTTCTCATCTCTGAATTTCAGTGAAGCTACCACTGCCACCAGTTATCTTACTAAAACATTTATTTAATGAAAGGTTTGATTTATAAATCCTTTGGCTTCCCATCGCCCGCAAGATAAAATCTTAACTCATTAGCATGATAAGAGAAGCCCTTCTTCCTTTAAAGATTTAATCTGTAGTTAAAACTGTTTCATAACTACTTCCCCCCAGTCCAATGCCCCAGTCCAACCAACATGCCAAATTTAAACCCTACAAATGTCTTGATACCCTCAAAAAATTTGCTATTTTATACCATTAGGCATTTATGTGTTTGTTTATAAAATATGTAAACATTTCGTTTATATGTTACTCACACCTAGATAGTGAGCTCTTGTAGGACGGAAGCCACAACTTGTTCTTTGTGTTTCCAAAAGCTAATACATTATCTGAATATCAACTTAAGAAACTAAACTTCTTTTTAAGTTAATAGTACCACCAATTGCTTTTCCTAAGAACAGTTACTCAGTTATCTAAAAACACAGATAATTCTTTTAACCCAGTCCCAGCACAGTTTTCTCAGTCCTTGTCCTGTTACATTTTGGACTCCTCGGCGATCTCTGGCATCCCTATTCCAGTGTTGCCCTTAATTTTTCTTGAAAATTAGCAGGCTGTTTCAGTGGGAGGGGGAAACCCCAATTGGACAGTTTTAAAAAGTATTTATTTGTAGAGTATTCTTAGTGTCTTCCAGATGTGCTTCTCAGCTAGAGCAGAACTTCATGAAATGTTCTTTGCCAGTTACTTTGCTTCCGAGCATGGGTTACCTACATTCTCTTAACACTATACCTTCTTCAATTCAGCTGTAGTATCCGTTGGCATTTACCACTAGATGCCAATGCAAATCCCTAAAATTGAAGATTTCATCTTTTATAATATAAATTATGTGTTCCATCATATTTGCAAACTATGAGTATAAATTTACTCAAATGAAGGACTATCTGTAGTTTTCATTGTATGAAACTTCAGAATATGGAGTACCAGCTTATATTAATAGAGAAGTTTGAGAGTGTATAGATATCACACTTAATCCACAGAGGTATTTTTTATTAAGTGAAACACTTTAGAAAGTTTTTCATATACAGGAAAGCAAATGATCATTAATTAGCCTATGGTTGCCTAACTTTTTGCAAGGGAGCTAAGATTTTTAGATTTTAGGACTTGTCAGCCATATAGTCAGGACCCTGGCAGAAAATAGAAACTGCTGATTTGAGGATTTAATGAAAGGACTCTATAAAACGTATGAACAAGGTTTAGGAGGCCCAAAGGAAAAATGCGGGGTCCTGGCGTGCTAGAGGAGCCATTGTCAGTCTTTGGCTAAAGGAATACGGAGAGGGAGCAGGTAATGCAACTCAGAGGCCTAGTTGTACGGTGTGGACACTGACATAGGCCTTGGCCTTCTGCCAACCCGTGGTGCCTCTGGAGGAGTCAGATCTCATGCTTTGCCTGTAATTCTGATCTGCCTAATGCCTCCTGTTGACCAAATCTGACTGGAAGTGTGAGGCCGAGGGAAGTGTTGATTCAGCCCGTGATCGTCATCTTCGCAAAGCACAGGGTGAGAGAGCAAAGAGTGGAAGAGTGCATCTGGAGGAGTAAACAGGAGACAGTAACTATGTCAGCCAAAGTGAAAGGAGTAGGAAAGAGTAAAAGCAAACAGTAGTGATAGTAATTTCTTGGCTGTATCATTTTCCATAATTTTGAATTTTTCCTTTCATTTAAAAGTTTCATGACACAGGCCTAGGAATGTTGTGCCAAAAATCCCAAAAAATTCATTGATAATATTACAGAAAAATATTATTTATTAATATTATTTTTTGTTATTAAATTTTGTTATTTTAAAGTTTATTTATTTCTTTTGAGAGAGACAGAAAGAGCATAAGCGGCGGGGGGCCAGAGAGCAAGGGAGACAGAGGACCTGATCTGCTGTCAGGGCAGAGTCAGATGCAGGGCTCGAACTCACGAACTGAGATCAGGACCCGAGCCAAAGTTGGATGCTTCACCCCCTGAGTCACTTAGTTTCCCCAAGTATTATATATTTTGACTGATTCTGATTTTGTTTTGGGGAAAAAAAAAGTTTTATTAATGCTGGATATTTTTTCAAAGGCCAACAAAAAATGTGAAGAGGCACGCCAGGAGAAAGAGGCAATGGTAATGAAGTACGTAAGAGGTGAGAAGGAATCTTTAGACCTTCGCAAGGAAAAAGAGATACTTGAAAGAAAACTCAGAGATGCAAATAAAGAATCTGAGAAAAACACTAACAAAATTAAGCAGCTTTCTCAGGAGAAAGGGCGTTTGCACCAGCTGTATGAGACAAAGGTATCACTTGTGCTGTCGTACCTTAGTTGAAATGTATTCTTTTTGCTTTTCCTTATCTAATCAAATAATCATAACTTAACGTGGTTAAGTCAGTATTAAACATAAAGTGGTTTTTATTAGTTTACCTTCGAAGAACATGAATACTTTAGTGCCTTTAATATCTTAATACTTGTCTGCAAAAAGTCTTTCCTGAGAAAAAATGAGATTGACACTTATTGAATAACATTTTCTTCGTAGATATTTTTTAAAGTCTTCTTTTAATATCTATATGTGAAGAGATGAGAGTTTCTGTTCTAAAACATTTTATTTTGGTAAAATATGTACCTAGTAGGATCAAGATGTAAACAGTTTTTCAGCCAGAAGTATATAATTTGAATCTCAATGTAACATCATTTATCATAGAATAAAATATTTATTTTTCTTGTAGAAAAACATGTTCTTCTTAGATGCTGCCCAAAAAGATTTAATTATTGAGCTTTTCAGAGTCCTTGCTTTTAACTCGCAGCCTCATGGTCTTATTTCTAGTGGATTATCATTTCTTGATGATGAATGTTATTTTTTTATAAATTAACTTTTAGTTCAGAAATGTTATTGTTCTTGGGAATTCTGGAAAAATTTAATTTGTATTTTATCTTAATGCCAGCCAGTTGGGAAGAATCATTAAGGTGTACTTGTACTTGCAACATATCTAGTTGGTTAAACTGTAAATCTTAATCATCTTATGTCTATTAATTTAATTTAGGATTTTGCTACTCTCTTAATCATTTGAACTTTGAATTAGGTTTGCAGCTTGTAGGTCATAATACGCTAGCCCCTGAAATAGAGTATTAATTGCAGTGATTATTTTGAGGAGGTATAAAAGATACACAAAGAATTGGTTGATTGTTTAAGTGAAAATATGACCCAGTGATATTTTTTAGGAAAGTGAAACTACTAGACTCACCAGAGAAATTGACAAATTAAAAGAAGATATCAACTCTCACATCATTAAAGTAAAATGGGCACAAAACAAATTAAAAGCAGAAATGGATTCACACAAGGTAAGTACTATAATGCAGTGGAAAAATTATTAAAAACTGTTTTAAGAGCAAATGCAGTAATAGTTAATGAGGCATAAAGCTTAATTTAGTGACTTCTGTGGCATAGGTAGGGCCTGAGTATTTGGTGATTGTGAAAAGAAATTTCCTTGCATGACTTACATATTAAATTTTATCATAAATTTAAAAAATATTAAACTTTATCATTCATTCTTTAGAAATCCAAAATTTGTTCTTCAAATATTTTTTGATATCTATATTTAATATTAAACATTGTAAAATTTTAGGGGAAAGAGGAGAGTATGTAGGTTATAAAAACTAAAGGTAAACTCTGGAAATTTAAAAGAATGTCAGTGATGCTAAGATTATTATGATTAGGAAATAGAAATTCTTATTTATGTGGTGCCTGGGTGAGACACCGACACTCAAGTCGGTTGAGTGTCTGACTCTTGATTTCAGCTCAGGTCATGATCCCAGAGTTGTGGGACTGAGCCCTGCATGTGTCACCAAGTGTGGAGCCCGCTTGATGTGTTCTCTCTCCCTCTCCTCCGACTCTTCCCCAACTTGTGCACACCCTTGTGCACTCCCACTCTCTCAGAAATAAAATAAATAGGGGCACCTGGGTGGTTTAGTTGGTTAAGCGTCAGACTTTGGCTCAGGTCATGATCTTGCGGTTCATGAGTTCGAGCCCTGAGTCAGGCTCTGTGCTGACAGCTCGGAGCCTGGAGCCTGCCTCTGATTCTGTGTCTCTGTCTCTCTCTGCCCATCCCCCATTCACATGTGCATGCATGCTCTGTCAAAAATAAACATTCAAATTTTTTTAAATTAAAATAAGTGTAAATTTTTATTTTAATAAGAGTATAATAAAGATTTTAAGAATGTTTCCATATCTGTTTATTATGAATATAATTGGTATGCCTAATGAGTTTAATTTTTTTTAAAAATTAATATGAAAAGCAATCATAAAGGCTGGTACCTGATGCCATAATTTCAAGCACTAGCTGAATTGGTGTAAGAGTTAATAAAAATCTGAAGATGATAGAATGTGAAGTAAAAGAACAACTTTTAAACATGATTTAAATAGAAGAGCAATGTTATTTATAACAATTGCCAAGTTTTCAAAAATAAGATAAATGGTATTGTTTAAAACCATAATCATAGGTTATCTCACCAAATAATTCTACGTAGAACTGTTAATAACCTTTGGATATTTGCATATAATATCAGAGAAAACTGACGGGAGAAGTGTTGACAGTGGTGAAAGAGTAGAGAATGGCAGCTGTCCTCAAGGTCTGAGCTAAGTGCTGATCTGCACCTGAGTGCTGGGGAGCTACACAGGCAGAGAAGGAATTGCCAGAAAGGAGTAGGGGCAAAAATCCTTGCAGTTCACACAGGCAGGGCTATAAATCATTTACAGTTTTCCTTTACTTTCAGTTACAGAATGAAGAATTAAAATTCCAAATCCTACATCATGGTAATGATTTCTAAACTATCTGAGTTGCTTCAAGATCTGAATATAATACTGGGTCATACCTAATATCTGCGGCAGTTTTCTCCTCGTTATCTATAGCCCTAAGGGATGGGATCTGAAACCTATACAATACTAGCATTGGAGAGTGAAAGGCTAACATTTGGTCTTCTAGGACCATATGTATTAAAAAATGGGTAATAATAAATATTTAATGGTAGCTTTGAAATCGGATGAAACCAGATACTTTGTAAGTAGGTTAGAGAAATGGTTTAAGGCTGACATAATGAGGTTACATGGTGTGGATTTCTAGCAAATGAAAATAACCAGCATATTGACATTAGTATATGGAAATTAGGAATTAACCAAATTTTTTAAGGCATTTATTAACCAGCAAGTATTTAACTGCTCCTTCCTCTGTGCACAGCACTGTATTAAATAATACGAATGCTGTAGAAACGAACCATGGAGGACACAGCAGTTGCTTTGAGAGAGTGTCTGAGATGGGATCCTGGTTATCTGTTTTATGTGTTTACCTAGTAGATGTGAGGTGGAGTCTCTGGATCAAAGGATGCAAGATTTAATGACTAGACAGTATAGGCCACCTTTTAAAGTGTGAACAAGAGCCAGGACCCTTGGAAGTATTTCTCCAGGCATCGCTTCCCGTTTCTAGTTCCTGCCCACCCAGTCCTAGGTATTAATATTGAAGTTCTGGATGTTACTGGATTCATTGTGATCATTAATTTCTGATTAGGCCTCCAGAGCATTTTACCAGAAATTAAGTCTTAGGTGGATTGAAGAGCTCCTTCATCAGTAGAATTTTCAATTGGATCAAACAGTAGAAATAATTTTATTTATTCCTTAAACTCCCTAGGAAATGAAAATGAAATGTGTTTGTAACACCTAACATCTAAAAACAAAAGCCTTTTATATTTAGTGTAGTGAAGGACTTTCCCCACAGTGTCCCTCATATATTTGTTCACCTACCTGGCTGCTACCTATTTACCTACTTGATCCCAGGATAAAATAATCTCACTGGTGCATAGATATGGCCAGCAAAAGATGTGGCATTAGACCATGGTTGGACTCTGCTGGGTGCTTGCTAGACAACTTTGCTTCAGAGAAATCTTGAGGAGTGGAGTCTTGGATATTAAGACAGCATCTAAAGCAGTAGGATGTAAGTGACTATAATATACTGCAGACCTAATATGCAACTAGGGGTTGTATATTTTATCACTTATTCCCTCAACAAGACTCTGCTACTTACTATCTGTGCTCTTCTCTGAAAGTTATCATGTTGTCACTGGTAGCCTGATTCTTAAATGGTTTACTTATAAGCCCCACTAATTAGAAGCTCTGCTTACTTTTAATTAGCTTTACTATTATCTCACATAGTAGAACTATATGTTCAGTTCTGTAACTCTTCTATAACTATAGTTTGTTGCATTATGGAGTAACAGGGTCCAGTTTAGCCTCCCACCTTAAAAAACTTAAGAAAAGAAAATATATGAAATGAAGGTTTTTAGGCTTGGGATAACAAAGGCAGCACAGGACAGTGATCCCTGAGAGGAGGGAATCAGACAAGATGAAGAATTTTCAGGTTGCAGCAAAGAAAACCCCAGACAGATCCCAGCAGTCTCCATGAATTGAGGAGACAAAGTTTGAAGTATGGGAAACAGGGTAGCGTATTGGAGAAGTGAAAGATTTGGAGATCTGTGCTGCATTCCCTTCATTTCTTCATTCAGGTCACTACTAATCAAGGTATGTGTGTGAGAAAGAAGTGGAGAAAGAACTATCAGAAAGGAGTAGGGGTGACAATTCTTATGGCTCACACAGGCCTAGTAGGAGCTGTTTATATTTCCCCCAAACAAGAGAAAGCCCTCTTAACATACAGGGCTTCCGGTGGTCCTCAGAAGGGTGTTGCTTTAGCAGTGGGGACTAAGTAGCTCAAGATCAAAGTCTGTCCTGGACCCATCTTACAAAGCTTTGAAAGAAAGCCACAAATCAAATTGTTTCAAATAACCATGTCTCAGGAAAAAAAGCCAAAATATTTAAGTGAGTTCAGAAATCTCTAAGACCTAAAAGCTTAAAATTCACAATGTCTGGTATCTAATAAAAAATTACCAGACCTGCAAAGAAGCAGGAAAATATAGCCTATAATGAGAAGAAAAGAAAAATCAATTGGTAGAAACACAGCCAGAAATGACATAGATGCAGGAAGTAGGCAAGATGTTAAAACATCTATTATAAAACAGCTATTATAAAAATATACTCCATATATTCAAGAAGATAGGTAAAAGTGTGAGTATGTTAAAAGGAGATATGTAAAAGGCCAAATTGATGTAATGTCTGAGATGAAAAATACAGTGGACAGAATTAATAAGATTAGATACTATAGAAGACAAGACTAGTGAACTTGAAAATCATGAAACTTTAAAAGCATATATGAAAACATAGCATAGAAAACTATGCTAGTGACTCCTAGATTTATAACTTGTACACAGAATTCTAGATTCATATAGTCAAGCGGCTGTTTGGCATCTGACATCTTGGATGACTCAGAGGTATCTTCAACTGAACAGGTCTAAAATTCAGTGGCTACTGTGCCTGCCCTCCATTGCTTCCCCTTCTCAATTGATGGCAATTCGTTCATTTACTTGCCCAGGCCAAAAACCTTGGGTTTTTCCATGAATTCTCAGTCACCATATCCAGTCCTTTAGTGAATCTTCTCGCTTACTTTCAGGTCTTCACCCACCTGTCACCTCTCAATGGCACATTCCCTGATTCTCTAAACATTCGTGCCTTCCCTCAGACTTGCTTGTGCCCTTTATTTTTACTCCTTAGCACTTGTCACTATCTAATAGAACAGATTTTTACTTCTGTATTTTATGTATTATTTAGGATCATCATTAGAATACCAGCTTTATGAGAGTAGAGATTTTACCCATCTATCTGCCAGTAATATTTCACCAAAGCTTAGAACAGTGCCTTCCACAGCAGTGAATACAGAATGAGTGGCTGCATCAATGAAACATAGTACCTTAACCAAAACTAATTTTATTCAGTTGTTTATTTAATAATTGTTTAGCATTCTAGGAATCTCCCAATTGCTATTTTTTGAGTGAATGGAGCACCTACTGTGTGTCTAGCTGTTTCAGTTATTGACAATCTAGAAGTAGGAAAAAATATTTGGAAGATTTCATTCTCTCCCTTCTCTCCACTCCCCTTCCCCTCCTCTCTTCAAGCTCATACTCTAATATTTAAAAAAACCAATATTTGAAAAAGTCTCCGTATTTTAGAAGTAATACTGAGTTTTAATACAGACCAAGTTTTTATTAAAAGACCAGCAACTGGAAGTATCTAGCTAAGTACTTAATTGTATGCTAGATATAATAAAAAATGACATGAAAGAAGTGGTGTGTGAAGATAGATGGTTCAAAAGATGAGAAAGATGTTCTAAATGGAGTAACAACAAGAAAAGAGGAAAAATGGGAGATGAGTATTTAATGTTTAGCAAGACCAGCCTACCTAGAGCAGAAGGTTTGTATTAGTGATTCCGTCGTTGATTCAGCACATAGTACTAGAACAATTAATATGTAGCAAGTACTAAGCCAGGGGTTGTCTAGAAGCTGTGACCTCAAAGGGGGAAACATATAAGCTACAGTATGGTGTATAAATTGCTATAAGCTATGATGCCCTGGATTCTGTCTATGGGAAGGCAGAATAGGAGCATCTACCCCCATTCTGACTAACCTCTACCAGGAGGTCATACCTAAACCCTCCTCTCAAATCCACGGTAGCCCAGACCATGGGACTGGATGGATGCCTTGAAGCAGAACTTTGGAAAATGAGCTGCAGAGCAGGGCTCTATCTGGAAAATTGCCGCAGGAAGCCAGGTGAGGATACAGAGAAGGCCACAGCAGAGAGGGAAAAACAGGACATTGTCTTATAGTAGAAACAGAGGAAGGAAATCCAAAGAGTCAGAAGGGGTCAGAAACTGGAGCAGTAAGTCAAGGATTAAAAATGAGAGAAAGTAATTGGATTTGATGAGAGTAGTTCGTACAAACTTCAGATTTGCTCTTTGAGGAGAGCAGTTAGGAATAGAAACCAAATCGCAGCATGGATGTGTAAGACGGTTTTGAATAGATACCATGGCTGTAAAACAAACTGTCTTATGTGTGTGTGCAAAGAGCTGTTTAACACTTTGTTCTTCTTGGCCGTATCGTGTTAGTTACCCTTAGTGATTTACTTAAAACTCTTATCAAATTTAACTTTATTTAATGGCTATCAGTTCACTGCATAGGCCACTTTATTTTTTGTCAAAAGCATGAAGTGTTATTTCTAGAATAGTATCCGACCCCTCAGTGGCAGAGCCAAGAGCTTCCTCTACTCTTGTTCTTACCATTCATCACATTACAGTGCTCAACCTTGTCACTGTCTGTGAAGCACAGTGGTTTTCCTTCTCCAGTGTAGGGAAGACCCCAGTTCTCCCTACTGTGTGTTCCTTCCCTGTGACTCTCCTTTACTTTTACACAAAACACTTTACCTCTGACACTTCCGGTCACCAGATGTGTGCAGGTTTTCCCCCATTACAAATAATCCTCTGTGATACCACCCAGGGGTCCTACAGTTTAATTCAACTCAGACACCTCTCCCTGGAGACAGCATGCGATCCCACAGATTAAGGGCTCAGGCTTACACGCCCTGGCACATACACACTTCAGAAGTTACCACCCGTGCTTATGACCAGCCAGCTATACATCAGAAGTTCCAGCGACCCCCTTCTTGGGTTTGAAAATTTGCTTAAAGAACAGACACACACGTTCACTACATTAGTAAAGGGTATGATAAAGGACACAGATGAACAACCAGCTGAAGAGATGTGTAGGGTGGAGTCTGGGCGGGTCCCAAGTGCAGGAGCTTCCATCCCCATGGAGCTGGGGCTCATCACCCTCTCAGAGTGCTTGCACTTGCCGGGTGGAAGCTCTCCAGACCTATACTCTGCGATTTTTATGGAGTCTTCATTATGTAGGCATCGGATCATCAACTCCATCTTCAGGCTTTCTTTGGGAGCTAAAAATTTCCGGCTTCTAATTGTGACTTGGTCTTTTTGGTGACCAGCTCTCACTCAGGAGCCCACCTGGAGTTACCTCATTAGAACAAAAGACTCCTGTCACTCAGGAAGTTACAGGGATTTCAAGAGCTCTGAGTCAAGAACAGAGGCTTTCAAAAGCAATATTGCAATGGAGCGCCTGGGTGGCTCAGTCAGTTAAGCATCCGACTCTTGATCTCAGCTCAGCTCTTACTTTCAGGGTCGTGACTTCAAGCCCTGCATTGAGCTCCATTCCCCCCCCCGCCCCCCCCCCACAACTATTGCAACAAGAAATGTTCCTAGTGTTCTTATCACTTAGGATTTTACAAGGGATTTAGGAGCTTTGTGTCAAGAACCAAGGCAGAGACCAATACTGACTTTTTCTTGTCTCATACTGTCTTTTTGTCACTGCAGGAAACCAAAGATAAACTCAAAGAAACAACCACAAAGTTAACTCAAGCAAAGGAAGAAGCAGATCAGATACGGAAAAATTGTCAGGATATGATAAAAACGTATCAGGTATGCTTAGCTTTTCAAATAGATTAGTAAGAAAATTGCACCAGATATCAGGACTCAGTTCACTAATGTTTTGTATCTGTAATATTTGAAGTGTGGAATGGATTTGGTAGGGCAGTTAAATAAATTACAGGCTATTTCCTGTGTTAAAGTACTTGCAGCTTAAATAGAGACCTTAAAAAGGGAAGTTTTTAACTAAATAAAGACTAGAAAATGTCAGAAGAATGAAGAGTACAGGAAATGTATAACCTAAAACCTACTCTGTATTATGTTACCTATCTTAAGTGGTATTCTTGCTCATGGAGAATTGACATATTAAAAACCTTTCAAAAAAAAAAAAAAAACCTTTCAATGCAGTGCCTTTTAGATACGCAAGGTATGCCTTTCACAGTCAGTAAACAATGGCAAAAGCCTTCACGTTCCATCATATAAAACCTTAAAAATTTAAGTCTCCTTTTTACATTTCCTTTCCATTAGGAGTCAGAAGAGATTAAATCAAATGAGCTGGATGCCAAGCTTAGAGTCACAAAAGGAGAGCTTGAAAAACAGATGCAAGAAAAATCTGACCAGCTAGAGGTGAGTGGCTTTGCTCTTTTCATACCCTAGATTGTGCAATAAATACAGAAGGAGAGGAATAATAAGTACTGTTGTCTCTTTCGAGGGCCTTTTCGAAGGAACACGCAATAAATTTTATATCTTGTTTATTAGTACATAATGATTTGTGGTTTCTTTTAAACTTTTATTTAACAGATGCATCATGCCAAAATAAAAGAACTGGAAGATCTGAAGAGGACATTTAAGGAGGGCATGGATGAACTACGAACCCTGAGAACAAAGGTAATTAAATCTTTAGTCACTTCCGAGGAAGGGTCAATGTATCCAATTTGAGACTCATTCTGATTTTTTAAGTGTTGGAGAAAGGATATTTATATAGAAATGTTTCAAAATGAAAGAACTCAGAGGAGTAGAATGTCGATTTCCTAGCAACGAAGTTGACTTTTGTTGAAGAAAATGTCTTCCACTTTAGTCCCTTTGAAGTATTTGCCAAACATTCCTGTTTTACAGCACATTTGCTGTTTCTATATCTTCTCTTTGGGCCTCTAATGTGAGGCAGTCTTATCAGCAGATTAATTGGAAAGATAGTTGGACTTTAGAACTGTGAGTGACAAAAAAATAATAGACTTTATATTTCTCCTGTATAGTCCTGACAGTGTTAACTTCTAGCAGTCTAGTCTAGTCCTTATTAGAAGAATAGTAGCCCTTTTAATACGGATGTGAAATATCACTGTATATCATTTATTTATTTAGAAATAGGCTTTTAAGTAACGACCCAGAGTTTGCCATCACTTAATAATTTTCAAAGTGCCTTTCATGTGCCCTTCTATTTGTTCTCTGTGCCAGTTTTTCAAGGTAAGTAGGGAAGGTATGCTGTTTTCAGGTGAGGAAATGGAGATTCAGCAAAAACAATGTGACAGGCTAAAACTCATGAGACTAAATCAGAAGAAATCTGAGACTGAATCTCCGGACTGTTAACATCCCATTATGTTTTCTTCACATTAATTAATATTGCTCTAGAATTTAGCATAGATTATTACTATGTAATCACTATTCGAAGTACTTAGGAAGCGAGAAAATATTATTTGTTGTCTAACTTGGTTATGATTATTGATAGGTGAAATGTCTAGAAGATGAGCGATTAAGAACAGAAGATGAGTTATCAAAATATAAGGAAATTATTAATCGCCAAAAAGCTGAAATTCAGAATTTATTGGACAAAGTGAAAATTGTGGATCAGATACAGGAACAGCATCAAAGGTATAAACTGAGCAACTTGTGTTTATGCTAATCAATAGGCTTTTAATTTTAATCTCAAGATTGTGTCATTAAATGCCATTAATGCATTAAACAAGAATAATTTTACAATTTTACCAGCTAAAAAGTTTTAAATTCCTGTCTTCATTTGAACTTTTTTGGATTACCTTTGAAGTTCCTTTTATGACTTTTAAAAATCAAAGCTTATATACCCTAGATATTGGAAGTAGCAATTTATAAGACAGAATGGCTTAAGTTTCTTTATCCATTCTTTAACTTCAAATTATGTTATTTACATAATTTATAAGTTTTTCTTCTAAGAGGTAGATGTATATCTTTATCTGTATCTTTGGGTGTATGTCGCGCAGAGTCAGGAGCTGACCTTATTCCTTGGCTTCTTGTAAAACCATTTAATTTAGCTAGACTCTACTCGTGACATGACCTGGCAGAGCATGGATTCAGCCTGAATCCAAATACCTTCTTTTTCATTCCTTACCAATATCTGCTGCTGAGTGTTGCTAAAAATCCTCACCATCATAAGGGTTGATGCTGTGATAAATCCATGATTAGTTGGCAACGTCAACTGGAAATGTTAATGATGTCCTTAGTCACAGCCTAACCCACCTGGAAGCTTCTGTTCCTGCTTTTGTTCATACTTCTGTCCTCCCTCCTCTTGCTATTTGCTCTTAGCAGGCAGTTACCTCTTACGTACTTCACAAAGAAATGGGAGCTCCAGGTAACAAGTGCTTGCAACCTCTTACTATCTGCCCTGTGAAGTTGCCTGCATTTGCAACCTTTCTTCTTTCCTTTCCTTTTGTGATTATGCAAGAAGTGTTCCTGTTCCCCTCTGAACTGAATTTTTCTCTCTACTTCTGTGTATCCCGTGCTCTTCTGCCTTCTCTTATCCTTTATTTCTTACCTGTCTCTACTTAATTTTTGTCTTTCTGCATTTAAATATTATATATTAAAAACATTAAAACTCCTATGACTCCCTTCTGCCTTTTTCCTGTCCTTCACAACCAAAATCCTTGTAGAATCATCTAAACTCCTCCTCCATGCCCTTACTTCCTTTGTTCTGTTTTTCTCTACTTTGTTCTAGCTTCTACCCTAACATCCCATTAAAAAACTGCTAATGCCTCCTCAAATCCAGCAGACACTTCTCAGATGAAGCCTTGCTTAAATTTTCTGTATTTTTAAAAATTTTACTTATTTATCTTGAAAGAGAGAGGGAGAGTATGAGTGGAGGAGGTACCGAGAGAGAGTGAGAAAGAAATCTCAAGCAGCCACCACACCCAGCACAGAGCCCAACACGGGGCTTGATTTCACAGACCGTGAGATCATGACGAGCCCAAATCAAGTGTTGACAGTTAACTGACTAAGCCACCTCCATGCCCTGAATTTTCAGTATGAAGCCCATTAAGCCCATTATCCTTCTTGACATGCTCAGTTCTTTGGCTTCATTTCAGATCTTGCTTTCCTGGTGTTCTTCCCCACTTTGTGGCCACTCCTTTTCTCATCTCCTTGGCAGCCTTCTCTTTGTTGTAAAACTCTTTTGTTACTATTTTTTTATACCCCCGAGTGATCCTTACTGTTCCCATAGTATACTGCAGGACCTTCAGATATTATCTTCAGCCCTTTGTGCTCAGCTCCAGACACACAAGTAGTAGAGATGCTTCAAACTGTAACATGTCCCAAACTGATTCATCTATCCCGTCCGTAAAAATACTCCTCTCATGTTCCTGAGGTGAGTGGTGAGTGTAGCACCCACAGGACTTTCCAGCCCAGGAACCTAGGGGGACCCTGCTTGGCTCTTCTCTCCTTCTCCTCACATATCGAACCAGTAACAGAGTATTAATGAGTATCTTTCAAGTCTGTGTATTTTTTATATTCCCACCACTGCTACTACCATTGCCGTTTCATCTTGAAAACTGCCACAACTTCTAAACTGCCTTTTTTGGGGGTTGGTGGGTTTTTTTCTTCCCTTTTAATCCATTGCCTACGCTGTGGTTAACATAACCTTTTAAAAATGGAAATCTCACAACCTTTCAGTGCTTTCCTTTGGCTCAGGGACTGCCCTGTGAGTTCAGATGCCGTAGCATGGCTTGGAAGGGCATTAGTGACCTTCTTCTCCCTCTGTGCTTTCTCTTTTTTCACTCTTGGGTTTCAGCCGTAATTGTGTACAACTGTTGATTGTGTTCTGGGTGCGAGCGCTGTGTTAAATGCTGGGGACAGAATGCTGTCCGTGTCCTCATCAGTGTCAAACCAACAAGAAAGTCACTCTCTTGTTCCCTCCCCAGATTTAGAACATACTGTTTCTTCTGCCAGGGACGGATTTTGATGTCCCAGTCACTTCTACTTTTTCTTTAAGTCAGGAATTAGCAAATTCTGGCCCAAGAACTGAATCCAGTCCACTGCCATTTTTTGTAAAAAGTTTTGTTTTATTTATTTATTTATTTTTTGGAACACAGCAGCTCTTGTTCCTTTATGAGTTGTCTGTGGCTGCGTTCGCAGCACAGTCCCCAGGAAGGACAGTCGCCACAGGGCCATGTGCCCTAGAAGCTTAAACTGCGCACTGTCTGGGCGTTTTACAGGAAAAGTTTGCTCACCCTACTTTAAGTATTAGTTTAAACATCACTTAAGCAGGCATCCCACTCCGCGCTCTCATCAGAAATGTTTTATCACATGGACAATTTCCTTACGTAACTGAAAGCTCTTTGAAAGCCGGCCGGTGTTGAGCTTGCTCGCGTACACTTCCAGCTCTCAGTTGCTAGCACGAATGAGGTAGTCGTCAAAATCCGGATAATTTGGATGAATGCATAAAAGTACCTTTATAAAACATTGTATATGATGGAAACTCCCAAACCATTAATTTAATGTCTTTTAATAGTTTTTCCCCCTAAATATAAACTCTGTTTCTTAGAGGTAAACAAGAAATTGAAAATTTGAAGGAAGAAGTGGAAAGTCTAAATTCTTTGATTAATGACCTACAAAAAGACATCGAAGGCAGTCGGAAAAGAGAATCTGAGCTACTGCTGTTTACAGAAAAGCTCACTAGTAAGAATGCGCAGCTCCAGTCTGAATCCAATGCTTTGCAGTCACAGCTGGATAAGCTTTCCTGTAGTGAAAGTCAGTTACAAAGCCAATGTGAACAAATGAAACAGACAAATACTAATTTGGTAAGTACAAATTTACATTTAACTTTCAAAGCATCATAGCAAGAAGCACAAATTAAATTTTCCTACTAGCGTAAACCCACCAGTAGTTGAGTTAAATTTTTTTTTTCCTGTATTGGCATTGCTAGCAATTTCAAATGCTGTGCAAAGCATCAGTTTTTCTTTCCAACTTGTTCAAAGTGTCCTTCTTCCTTCCTTATATAATTTATAATAAAATGTCTCCCTAAAAGGCTTATGAAAAAGTATTTCATTTTTGAAAATAAGAAAACCATGGTTTTTGTCATTTCTAACCAGAATTACTATATATTTTTCAAAGTTATTTCAAATTTCTATACGTTTATAGTTTAAAAATTGTTTACTTATAGGGGCGCCTGGGTGGCTCAGTCAGCTGGTCATCCGACGTTGGCTCAGGTCATGATCTCTCAGTTCGTGGGTTCAAGCCCTGTGTTGGACTCTGTACTGACAGCTCCGAGCTTGGAGCCTGCTTCAGATTCTGTGTCTCCCTCTCTCTCTGCCCCTTCCCAGTTCGTGCTCTCTCTCTTAAAAATGAATAAATATTAAAAAAAAATTTTTAATGTTTTACTATTTCTAAGTTATGGAAGTATCTTCAGGTTACTCATAAAAATAATTTGGGATTTTAGTCCAAAATATATAGAGATGTTATTCATATTCTCTTGCGTGTATAAAATGGAAAATGCATTAATATGCCCCCTGCATTCCTCTGTGAGGAATTTGGGGAGCTCCGGAAATAGAACCTGGTAAGGAATGATTCTGGAAGAATCTGCCATCAAGGACCTTATATTTTCAGGGTTTTAAACTATGAGCAGTAATGGAAACAGATATTAAAACTGGTGTGTTTTGTTTTCTCTTAATATTTAGGAGAGTAGATTGTTGAAAGAGGAGGAACTGCGGAAAGAGGAGGTCCAGACCCTGCAAGCGGATCTCGCCAGTAGACAAACAGAAGTTAAAGCCCTGAGCACACAGATTGAAGAACTGAAAGATGAATTAGTCACTCAGAGACGTAAACATGCCTCGAGTGTCAAGGATCTTATCAAACAACTCCAGCAAGGTACCAAATTCTCACACACTTAGACTTTCACATTGTTTCTTTTAGTCCTTAAGGATTTATAGAAACAATATACTTTACATCAGACTCTACCACATTGATTAGAGCTGTATGTTCTTTTTAATGTATTAATGTTCATAAAGCAAATCACTAAACCTCTTAAGTTTCACAAATAGTTTATAACATCTTCTATGCTAAAGGACACTTATTTGCACAATCCTGAAATGTGAGAATTGGGAATGTACCTTAGGGAAGTAGTGTCTAAACTTTTTTTGACCACATGCTCCTATCAGTAAAAAGTATTTAAGCATTTGTTCTCCGATGTATATATATTTATTTATAAATTTTAAACATGTATTATTCTACATTAAGAATATAAATTTTAAAAGATCGCGGGGCACCTGGGTGGCTCAGTCGGTTGAACATCTGACTTTGGCTCAGGTCATGATCTCATGGTTTGTGGGTTTGAGCCCCGCATCAGGCTCTGTGCTGACAGCTAGCTCAGGGCCTGGAGTCTGCTTTGGATTCTGTGTCTCCCTCTCTCTCTGACCCTCCCCTGCTCATGCTGTCTCTATCTCTTTCTCAAAAATAAATAAAATATTAAAAAAAAAAAAGATCGGATGAAATACAAGTATAAATGGAAGTTCTATATTTTCTCCCTGTACATGCTATATGTTGTTTTATTTAGCATCTAGGTACCTGCACCCAACTTGTAGAGATCATTGAACCCTAACCCTTCATCTTAGAGGAAACTGAGGCCCAGACAGGTTATTACCTGAACACAACAGCTAGGACTAGAACCCAAATTTCTCTTCATTTAAAAATTCATACAATTATTTGGAGTCTATGCAAGTCTGTGCTTAGATACAAGGATGAATAAGATATATATTCTGACTTTCTAATCTCTAGTATTCCTCATTTCTTTACGGTAAAATAGGGTGATATATAGTAATAGGATCAAAGAAATTTAGCATTTACTTAATATGAATACATTCAGGTATTTTTTCTGAATACATTCAGTTTGTTTTTAAAGCTATAATGAAGGGAAATCTCTGGCATCATGGAGATTATCTAAATCCGTCAGGATTCCCGAAAGTTGGGGCACTGCACCTGAATGATACCATCACCGTGTTGTTTCTGTATATCCTATATTTGACCTGTACGTTTCTACATATCATTTTATATGAATGACTACCATGGCCCTCCTGTCTAAAGTATGTATTCAACAAATTTCTCTTGTTGTTTAAGCCATTTTTGCTTAAGTGATTTTAGCAGTTAAGATCAGAGATCGTGGGGACAAATGGTCATGATAATTGTCACCAGTAATCCATTTCTTTTTCCTGTAGCAAGAAGAAGGTTAGACCAGATTGAGAATGGAAACTATGACAAAGAAGTCAGCAGCATGGGGAGTCGCTCCAGTTCATCCGGTAAACAACTCGGGCTTCTCGTGTTACCTGGTGACTGACTGTAAAAAGAAGTAGCTTTTTTTGTGTGTTAAAAAGTATTGATATGCTTTTTTTTTTCCATTTTGAATCATAAAATTTGTAGTATTTCCAGTTAATATTTACATTCTCATCACCATCCAGGGTTTCAGGTTTGCCATGGGGTTCTAGATTGTCTCCATGCCTCTTTTGTACCTGCTGCTGCTTTATTCTGTGTAACAGTTTTCCCCTCATTTTTCAATTTAGATTTGTGTCCATCCATAGAGAGAGATTGGGTATAATACGGCCCTTCTCTCTCTCTTTCCCTTTATATTATTTTTAACACCTGAAAACTAATGAAATGATTATGTATCAGATCTTATATACATGTGTGTGTGTATTTTTAAATTTTTTAGCTTTTCTCATGGTAAATATGCCAAAAATTATGATTGATATCATTGTGGAAATGATAATTAGTAAAATATCAGTGTATTTGTCATTTCGGAATGCCGGGAACCATGCTAAGCACTTTAAACCTTATTGATTCTGCAGAATAGTCATGTGAGGTAAGTGTTATAATTCACATTTTAGATATGAGGAAACTAAGATTACGAATGTTCTGTGACTTGCTCCAGGTTCACAGTGACAGAACTCTCAGACTCGAGAGCCCTTTCATGCCATTACACTGCACTCCGTCTCAGGAGCTGTGCATCACGGGGGTGGGGAGGCATCAGCTGCTCCAGCAGTGGGAGATGCTGTAGTAGAAGGAACATGCGTGTGAAATGGCACATAGGTATTTTGAAACAAGTCTGTCATTTATTAGTGTCCAACCTCGAATAAGTCTATTCTTTGTCTTCAGTCTACAAAATGGAGTTGAGAAAACACTTATGTTTGTAGTATAAAAAGGATCAGAAATTTTTCTCAACTGATGTTGGTAAAAATAATAGCTAACACTTACTGAGTATTTATTATATGTACTATGCCAAGCACTTTCAAATATATTAACTTATTTAAATGAGGTTAACAATCCTATGAAATAAATTATAATAATATTCCCATTTTAAGATGAAGTGACCAAGGCACAGAGAATTAAATAACTTGGCTGAAGTCACATAGCTAGAAAGCAGAGGAGTAGAATTTGAACTTAAGGAGACTGGCTTCAGAGCTGAGCCCAGTGGCATATTCTGTCTTCTCTCTCTATGTCTGTCTGCCTTTGGCTCCTGGTTTCACTTCAGGGCTATTATTATGACTTTTTCTGAGTTTCTTGTTTCTCTCTTGCCACTTTCTCATCCTGTTGCTGAGAGACATAATAGGCCCTTTGGTACTTCTGGCATCCATGTATCCAAAAACCAGAGCTCACACCAGGTAGGACTTGTGTTCTGTGCCCAACTCTGTTAGAGCGAATATTGGAAAACGGCACTAGAGGAAATAATATGTGAGATTAGAGATGACTTTAGACTAAGCACAGTATCTGAACGTATTTTTTTTTTTTTTTTTTTTTTGGTCTTCAGGATCCCTCAATGCTCGAAGCAGTGCAGAAGATCGATCTCCAGAAAATACTGGGTCATCAGTAGCTGTGGATAACTTTCCGGAAGTAGATAAGGCCATGTTGATTGAGAGGATAGTAAGGCTGCAGAAAGCGCATGCTCGGAAAAACGAAAAGATAGAATTTATGGAGGATCATATCAAACAACTGGTAGAAGAGATTAGGAAAAAAACAAAGTACGTATTATTATAAAACAGTCTTTGTTTGAAATACCATTATTCATATGGTAAAGACACTGTTTTCAGAAGTAATCATATCAAGAGCCCATCTTTCAAAACATAATTCTTAATTTCCCAGTCCTTTCTTGATCACTTATTACGTTCTAGGTTTTGGGAATACAGAGATGAAAGAAAACACAGGTCTTTAAGGCAATAATACAGTTCAGTAGATACTGATTTTTTTTTTAAGTTTATTTATTTATTTTGAGAGAGAAACAGCGTGAGCAGGGAGGGTAGGGGCAGACAGAGGAAAAGAGAGAAAGAATCCCAAGCTGACTCCACACTGTCAATACAGAGCCCAATGCAGGGCTCCAACCCACAAAACCATGAGGTCATGACTGGAGCCGAAACCAAGAGTTGATGCTTAACTAACCGAGCCACCCAAGTGCCCCAGATGTTGACTTTTTTAAGATACTAAAATAACTTTGGATTTTTTAAAAAAAGAGTGCTTTACTGCACTTTCAATTTTCATGACTGTGGCTCTAAGAGAGAATATGGGGCTGTGGGTGATCTTTCCTGTTGGGGAGGGTGTAGTGGGTAATTTATTGGGCACCTGCCAAGTACAAGACTCTGTGCCTGTGACTTAACAAAATTTCCTTGATTTCTTTCAACTCAGTGACTGAAATGTTAACTGGTGGTGCTCAGGTCAAATTACTACATGTTCCAGAGTCACCACACATTCAGACAGTGACAGACCAGCAGCGGGAGATCTGGGCCCAGCTCTGACCCACTCCAGAGCCTGTGCTGTGCCAGAATCCTCTTACAAATGCCATGTTCTTCTAAGTAAGAGGTTTTGTTTTTTGTTTTTTTAATATGTATTGCAAGTCTGTACCCATGCCTTTTAAATTTTATTTTGAAATAATTTTAGACTGAGAGAAAATTTTGCCCATGACTTATAAAGGAAAAAGGATAAAGTTTTGAGTTTAATAACAGGAAAATAGAAAATACTAACTAAAAATGGAGCAATAAAGAGATTACTCAAAAATATTTTGATCAAAGTAATAAGGAAAGAAATTGGAAAGCAGAGTTTATATATCATTATATAAATACCATGTTGAACAAAAATAGGATTAAGAAACCCATAAGAAAAGTTCCTTTATTTTCTAATATACTTCTTTTCACCTAATAGACTACTTCTTTTAGTCTAATCATCTTTATACTTATGATTAGCCAGCTCCTGTAAATTCTGATGTTTTTAGTTCTGCAAGTATATAACTGACAGTGTCATTTTATTTTACAGAATAATCCAGAGTTACATTTTACGGGAAGAATCAGGCACACTTTCTTCAGAGGCATCTGATTTTAACAAAGTCCATTTAAGTAGGCGAGGAGGCATCATGGCATCTTTATATACATCCCATCCAGCTGACAGTGGATTAACTTTGGAACTGTCTTTGGAGATCAACAGGAAATTACAGGCTGTTTTGGAGGATACATTACTAAAAAATATTACCTTGAAGGTATTTCTATTTCTCATGTACTTACCAATCAGTAATAAGCACGGTGTAATCATAGCAGGAGCTGGTACATGAATGGACTAGTTCTGTAATACAAGGTGGCCATTTGACACAGAGATCAAATTTTTGTATTTTTCTTATTGAAAAAGAAAGAGCAAAACATCAGCTTCGCTATTGGACAGACACTTCTTTATTTTGCGGTGGACAGCCTCTGAGCTCTATTATAGTTAGGGTTGATCACCGAGGCTTTAAGATTGAGGCATGTCTTGTCTGGCGTACATTCTAGCTCTGCTTTTGGCAGCTCTTACCTGACCTGAGTGTTCTCTTTGTGCTCTGTTTGGGCCTCCATAGTCAGTAATGGATTTTAAAGAATGGGTTTTTTTTTTTAATTATTTACATTTTGTTTTAGAGAGTACAGGGGAGAGGGACAGGGAGAGAGAGAGAATCTTAAGCGAGCTGTAAGTTCAGCGTGGAGCCTGATGCGGGGCTGGATCCTATGACCCTGCGATCTTGACCTGAGCTGAAGTCAAGAATCCGATGCTCAACTGACTGAGCCACCCAGGCACTCCTAAAAAAGAATATTTTAAATCTAGTAATAATTCTGTGCACCAAAATTTACTGTCCCTTCAGTCCTGAAATGTACAGGACTCCTGTACTGAAAACTACTGTGCTCCTGGTCAGCGTCACGACCGAGCATTTAAGACTCATCCTCACCCTTTTGGTTTCAAAACTTACGCAAAAAGAGTTCACTCTGGATCTTTATACTCATGATACTTAATACTTCTGTTTTCTTTCCCCCTTTTCTAATTGGTAAAGGAAAACCTCCAAACACTTGGAACAGAAATTGAACGTCTTATTAAACACCAGCATGAACTCGAACAGAGGACGAAGAAACCCTAACGCAAAGCTCTCGATCACTAAACAGACAAAAGCCACATAAGGAGCAGGTTCCACTGCCCGTTATTGTTGGAAACTTCTCCCTGCTTTGTGTGTCAGCCAGTAAAAAATCGTTTTGCTTCATCTGTATAAAAAAGTATCCTTTTATAATAGGAATGCATTGCTGTGTATACTGTAAGAGCAAAAGCTTTGATGAAATTTGTTTTTGTACAGTGACGCCTGTCACTGAATCAGAACAACTGAAATTGCTAATAGTCATACAGAATGCTGAACATTACTACAAGGGCTTTTGAAGACCCCTTCTCCATGTTTCTTCCTTTTAAAATATATCATGTCAAAAATGATTCTGCTTTATAAAATGCATGAAAGGACACGTGTTCATCACTCCATAACATGCTGGTTCTCCAACCTGAAAAAAACTAAAGTGACAAAGATTTTATTTGACCGTCCAGTGTCCCATTTGGTTGTGTGATAAGGATGCCAGTGAGGCTTTACAGTTTGTTATTTTAATGGAAGCTAGTGGGAAAGCCAGCTCTTGGTCGCCAGCAATAATCAGCCGTTGCATACCTCCACCAGGTTTCCTTCTCTGTGCTGGGTACGTTTTGTCAGATTCACATTGTTTGAGTTCATAGTTGAGTTTTTTTAGTCTCAGTTACACAACATATGATTTTAAATAACGTGCTCATTTAGAAAATCTCTGTGGACTTCAGTTGTGTTTTAAAATGTGAAATAGATTATTGATTAGACCAGAGAGATGAATAATGAAATCTCTGAAACTGAAATACTCTAGTTTTACTGACATCAAGTGTAAAAATAACTGTGTAAGATTTTTATGAAGAAGCAGTTCCGCAGCATATGGCTCTGTTAACCACTTCATGTGAGCACACTTCTCGACCATTGATATGATTATATATAGCAGTGGAGTGATCTGCAGTCCATGTGATATGTTTCAGTGTATTTATTTAAAACACAGAATAAGTACATCTCTGTAACCAAAGGAATTTTAGAGCCAAACTTGTATTTCCTGTTGGATTTTTACGTGTTGCCAGTCCATAGTATCAGTATTTCTACATCATCGAATGTTGTTCCCTTCTCTTGTAATTTGTCACTTATTATCATTTCTGTGTGTGATTTTTCACATTTCATTATAAGCAGATCATTTCTACAGTAGGACACCTTGGCCAATATGCCGATGTTGCCACAGCGTCACTTTTGTTTTGGATTTTTGCATCCTTTTCTCTCCCTTTAAGAGAAGTAAGCTGTGGGATGATGAATTAAAAGCTAAAAAAGCCTTTAAGAAATTGTGTGGCTCTAAAAGTTGGACTTCTGGTTGCAATGTCCCTTTAGTGTGTTTTAACATTTTTTTAATCAACATTGTTTAAAAACATCATATCCTTAATTTTTTACTAAGGATTCAGTGGTAGTGGCTTATTTTTTCTGTATGTCCAGTTATGTCTTGTCACCCAAAACCAAAATCTTTTCAAAATGGAAATAGAAGTTCAAAAACATCTTATTTTTAAAATGGCGATAACAAGTGTTAGTCTTACCATAATGTGTCTTGTTCTTTTTACCAGTACTAATTTATCAAAATAAAGAAAATAAGAGGGTAAGTGCAATCCAATCTGAATTATTTTCCCCTTTGTTTCTAGACCTACTATTGATATTCCTGTAGACTGCTTAGAGCAGCCGACAAAACTACATTCTTAGGGCTGCTTATGTGATAGAGATTTATACACTACAATATTTGTTTTTTCCCTCCAAGACATAAAATGTATGAATGGAGACCAAATAATGATTAGATCTAGAGTGTCCTATGTTTGTACACTTTAAAAATATATACATTTATTACACACAAAAGTAAAACATTCCAATATTAACACGTACCACCATTTGGGAAAGTTAAATGGTGAAGCAACTTTAGAAGAAAGCTTTCCTAAATCATGTTCTGACTTGTTACTTTTCCCCCCACAAATATAAGAAACTATGGAAAACTTTTGAAGAGAATGCTTTCTTTTTTTTTTTTTTTCTTCAGTTTCTATTGTATCTTTTTGTGTATGGATTAGAACCAAGCAAAGTAATGTATGGAAATGTGATATATCACATCATCATACTGACTCACACAAAGCTCCTGGTGTGAGGATTTAGGTATTTAGAGAATCTATATTGAATATACCGAGAAAGAGTGGAGTGTCCGAAAAAGGAAAATGGTCTGGATAAACTTGAGATGTGGGGGAATATTTATTGTATATGTTCATTATTCATTGTGCATATGAACTCCTTAGATTAGTTAGCGCTGTTTTGGTTTCTTGGAACAGGAAATTATTTTGTGTGTGTGTTCTATCTGTGTATGTTTACTAGGTTTTAATTTTGAAGTGAATTCTTTTTTTTTTTTTTTTTTTTTTTTT